TGTTCTTGAGGAGGCCAGTAATATACTTAAGATGGAGGTGCTTGTGGGTACCTTCCTGCTTATCCACATGAATCTTCTCATCTATGCAGAAAGGTTTGGAGATCAACCAACAGCGGGAAAAACTTCAGATGAATGCGAGTTGTTGAGTCAAGTTAGAGATTTACAAAATGACCTACAGTCAGGAGCAACAGATTAGCAATATAAGAATCTTTCACTTAAAGTAGTCACACTTGGATTGTGTAATCCAACCTGACTCATTGACTCTTTGAGTCTTGAAAGAATGCAGTGTGTACAAATCTATATTCATTTATTGCTGTACTACTTGTGTCCTGCTATCTTGCCTGTACCTGCCTGTCTTTCATCATTCTGGTTCTGAATACTTAAGTGCAGTGTCTTTTTCCTATCCTAAAACTGTTGTTATTGCTGTCGATTCATACCCATCTTGGCATTGTACCAGCCAGGTGATGCAGTGAAAGGAATTGGTTTGTTTCACATGTTTAGGTAATTCAGGATACACTAAGTGTGGTGAGAAGCTTCTACAGAGTAATTATGTTGAAATGGTTTCCTTGGTTTGTGACCAGCTTTCTCGTGTCTCTGGTAATTTGATGCTGATGGCCTCTTTCCCAGCAGTGGCTGTATGCTGTGTTCCCTTTGTCTGCTAGCCTCCAAACTCAAAGTCAAGATACTTGGACCCTCAAACCTTGAACACACATTCTGTGGGCAGTTCCCCTCTCTGAAAAGGAGACAGCAGTTCTCAAACCTTGGTAAAATTCACCAGGAGAATCAGGTGACTGCAATGTTGAACCCTTAGTTTAACTTTTTCTTAACAGAAGGTTATTAATTTTAAGATTAAGTGCTCATTGTACCACATGCCTTTTATGGTTTTATTATCTTTGAATTGTCCTTTCTGGTGGTAGCCTCTCAAGTGACTTTTTACAGATACGCTTTCAGTTATGTTACCAAAGATGCTGCACTTAATCAGCTTGCATAAAAACTCAGGTTAGCTATCACTGTGAAGGGTCAGTGATCTTGCACTCAAGTTTCAGTGCTGCTTGACTTAAAAAGGATGAGTTGGGTCTTGTAATAAAAAGCTTAAAAGCTTGTCAGGTGTTTACAAAGATGTCATGTAACTTCTTTTGCAAAGATATGAAGCATGCTATGACACAGCAAGTGTCCCAGGGATTTTGGGAGAAGTGCTGACACTCATATACTCTGCTGCATATATGTAGACTAATGTAATTCAAAAGCAATTGAGCCAAATCTATTTGAATCCATATTGGAGAACTTCAGTAAAAAGGAAACTGGTTAGTGCTGATAACTGTTGCGGGGTTTTAACCTACTGATGCTCATTTTCTCAAAACCTCTTGTTAAATGATACTTTCATTTGAGGTCAGTTGGCATAGCAGAGCCAGCCTGTAGAAGGTTAAAGCCTGATGTAACATTTTCAGATGGGTCAATAGTCTATGTACTTGTAGTGGGATGTAAGTGAAATCTCTTATGCTTCTGTGTTTCTCTGTAGTTTCTTCCTTTATGTCTAAGATGTCAAGTATCTCTCAGCTCTAGGGAAGAGGTGTGGAACAGCATGAAACTAGTGGACATGTTTCTAGCAATCTTCATGAGACCTCAGTTTCCAATGCCAGGAGGTAAACCTGGAGAAGACAAATATGGGTGATTATGCTGGCTTTGATTGCCAGAGTTAACCTCAGTGAAAATAACATGCTTACTGCCTTCCAAGGTAAAATACTAGAGTTTCTTGCACTAATGTGGTGGCTTGTCAGAGTTCTCTAAGTATTATGGACTCAAGCATACTATGTCAGGGCATCTATATTGGACTGGCAGAGAACCAGGAATACCCAGGCCAGGCTAACAAGTATGCGTTCCAAAGAATTTAAGACTTGATAATGAGGATGTCAAGTCTCTCCACCATAGATGCCTGATGATGCTGCAGAGTATTCATTGGCACTTAAATATGTCAGATACATATTTTTTTTTAGGACACACTTGGTTTCAGTTGCGAGGTGCCAATCCCAGTTAGTCTCATTGTGGATGCTTTAAGAGTAATCTGCTTAGTATGGCCCTTACACCAACCAGCACCATTGACATGTTAAAATATTTCAGAATCCAGCGCTTCAGGGAGCTGCTTTGGTGGGTAAATGGTAAATTGAACTGAAACAAGCAGAGGAGTTATGTGAACACTGCACAGAGCTTCTGAAAAGATGATTCAGTCCAACATGGATGCTTTCTTAGCAGTTTTGTGTTTGCAGACTGTACTGTTAGTGTACCAGAGGTACTGTGGGCTTTAATTTTCTTCTGACAGTAAGACTGCTTTTGCTAATAGCCTTGCCACATGTTGAGGATGTTTTTTTAAATAGTCTTAACTGTTCTTTGATCCATTTTGGTGTTCTGAGATACATCAAAGCACGGGGCTGAAAAGTTAGCGTCACTGCTACTGAAGAGAGATGCTTTAAACAGATAAATTTTTCAGAACAGATCTATCTGGTCTGGAATTTTGTATTTCAGACTTCAATAGCTAATTTACAGTCACAGCAGCAATAGAACACTTTGTGTTTTTTCAGCTCAGAGTTGTCAGCCTCAGTTGCTAAAGGTTATGTTGCCCTTTAGTCTCATGTGTAAGGCAGAGCGGTAGTAGGCCGGGATGTAACTACTGAAGATTGGTGAAGTGAAGGGGACAGCTTCTTGAGAGTAGGCATAATTTTTAGCTTCGGAACTTTGGAATTAAATATTACTTCACAATGTTCTTTGTAAACGTAAGGGTAGAATATTAGTTGAATTTCTAACCAAAGCCACAGATAGCTTAATAGCGTTTTGATGATTTTTGTTCATTATATGCAGCTTTGGTTCTGTTGAATTGTAGTAGGAAGCTGGAAAGGTGATACTAGAAGAAAGCTTGAAAGTGACTTTCTGGATTTTTAGCATGCTTTTTCCAAACGTGGTATACTGTAGTGAATAGATCAAGTCTAGACTTTGTGACAGTCAACATCACCTGACTTCATGGCACTGCATACATCTCCTGTCTTTACCAGCTCAGTTGATCTGGTTACTTGCTGCAAACAAGGAAGCTGAGGTCTGTCACAAATGAGTTGCATCACTGAGGATTAAAACATGACTTTTCTTTCTGTGAAGTGGACAGACAAGGACCTATTGTGCATGCAGTTCAGAGGATGTGGAATGGGGAACAGTCTGCTTCATTAGATTTTGAGTCCTAATTCTGGGCTTATTTAAGAAATGGGGGAGGCAGGCATGGTCAGCTTTGGTCAGTGCTAGTTAGTTTTCATGCGCCCGTGAGACAAGACTTTTTTTTTTTTAAGATTCTCTCTTTGAATAATTCAAAGCTTTCTATGTGACAGAACTATGATTTACTTGAAACATAGGTAGGAGACGTGTTGCTATATTGTCAGTTAGTTTTTAATATAGAAATTAAGTAGCATAAGTTTATAAAATCTACATTTTAGTTTAGCCAGCTTTTGACCCAAATAGATGGAATTTCCTGGGTGTCTGCATGTAGTGACCTCACTGTTTGGAGCAGACTTTTAATAGATCCACCTTGTGTGGAGCGCTTCCAAACTAATTCTTTTTTGCCCTTTTTTAGTTTTCCTTGATTCTAAGAGATAGGTGCATTTTTACTTTTAATGCAGAGGTTTCCCCCCTCCCCCTCCACTTAATCCAGAACTCTCTTGACTTGTTGGATATGTCTGTGCAAGAGGATGGGAAAAATTCAGTACTCCGAGGAGAAATCCTTCAGAGGAGTATTTCTATAGTGCAGAATTTATTCTCAAAAATGATTCCTTAGAATGGAAGCATATCAACATTGAATTTTCTGTTTGTATGTAAGGGTGCTGATTCTGTATGTTTGAGAGGTTTCAGTGGAAATTAACAAAATCACATCATACTGGGAGCTAAGCATGAGTTTTAAGAAATTCTAGATTGGCTTTACCACAGTGCTGCTTTCCTCGAGAGAGCAGAAAAAACTTAAATCCTGTCTCTCAAGAGAAACCTCTTTTTAAAGTCACAGCATACATACTGAGACTGTATGGTGATAATGGATATTGGAAGTTTTTTCTGGTGTTAACACAAGGTTGGAAGGCTTACAATAAGAGTTGCAGCTCTGAGAAACATGTAGACTTACGAAGATTAGATGAAGTGTGGTGGTAAATGAAAATACCTAAGTAGGAACACTTAGAAAACATGGAAGAGATTTTCAAAAGCAACTTGTAAATATGAAGCTTGTAATCTATTACATGTTAATGGGAATGGGGTAGAATGCTTAAGATGCTTGGAGAAGAGATACATTGCAGAAGCCTGAAAGTGATTTTTTTAAAACGTTTTCTTGATGTTACAGCTGCAGGCACATGAGTGTTTTAATGATTAGGAGATGAGGGAGGGGAGTATCATGGTGATATGGAGAGATTGACTGTTCAGTTTGCTCAAATATGAGAATGAGGGGTGGTTATGTAAGACTGAGTGAACTTCAAATCAAAAGGAAGAGGTTCTTCACATGAGTGATTGTGGATCTGTGAAGGTCCTTGTCAGAGGGCTTCATGGGTATAAGAATTTTATGCAGGCTCAAAGGGAAGCTGAAGTACTTTGAACAAATCCATGAAGACTACCAAATGGACAAATCACATAAGGCTCAGGAAAACACCTGGAAATAGTTGGGGGCTGAAGAACACTTTGGAGTATCTTTCTTTTTTTTCCTGTTTATTTTTGGAGGTGGTGCTAGAGGGAGCTTATGTCATATTATGAAGGAGGAAGAATCTGAGCAAAGAGTTACAGCAGAAGGGAGAGAAAAGCCACTGGGTGACCAAAGTCTTTTCACGTTTTTAAATACAAAATCAGACTGAAATGTTGTAGGCAGTAATGAGAATAGGAAAAACACATTTGATCTGGGTTTTTTGTGTTTAGTATAAATATGGATAAATAGGTATTAGTTGGAGGAACTAAAATTTCTAATAATTCTTGTTTATCACTCTTTTTATTAGCAAAACCAAATAGGAAGCTGACATTCCTGTACCTGGCCAATGATGTCATACAGAACAGCAAAAGGAAAGGACCAGAATTTACGAAAGACTTTGCTCCAGTAATAGTGGAGGCTTTTAAGCATGTTTCAAGGTACAGTAAACCATTATGTGCACCGTCCTTCATCATCCTTCATCATACTGTATTTGAGGGGTATTTAGAGAAGTCCTCAGTTCATCTCTTCTGACCCAGCTAGTCCTTGTGCTATTTCTGTACTTGAAGCCTTGTTAATTTAATTTGTTCAATTTTCTTTAGATCTTGGATAGTCTTAATGCCGTTGCATGAAGTTACATAGTAAATTCATCTGCATTCAGTCCGTTTTGCCTTAGAAAGCTGTTAGCTATGCCTTAAATTAAGACTTGCTTTCAGTCTTTATAGTATTTATGTGCTACAGCAGTTTGCTATGTTTCATTACTGGTGTTGCATGATTTGTTATTCCCCAGCAGCCATTCATCTTGTTGCATGAGGATGCTAGAGTCTTGATACAGAATTATTTTCACATGGTACGCAGCTGTTGAAGCAACACAAACCTATTTGCAGTGTTTGCGTAATAGGGTTATAGACCTACAGATTTATGGGTTGAGCAAGCAAACAGAAAGAGGGGACTGGGCGTTGGCGGCTTTTTTATGTGCTTGCTGAGACACCTTGAACTGGTCTTTGCTTTCTTTTCTTTAAAATGTGATTTTGTTTTCTGAGGTTACTGGACTTCCGGTACTTTGGTATTGCTAAGGTATGCCAAGGTCCTTCTGTGACAGATAATCATACAGCAGTGCTGTACTTTTCCCTAGTGCTGATTTTTGCTTTTTTGCCTTGTAACAGTGAGTCTGATGAGAGTTGTAAGAAACACCTTGGCCGAGTGCTCTCTATCTGGGAAGAAAGGTCTGTTTATGAAAATGATGTATTAGAACAACTTAGGCAAGCGTTGTGTAAGTATTTTGTGTGTGTATGAAGATTGAGTCTTTTGTTTGAAATGTTATTTCCCTGACTCCTCTGTTTTGTTTTCATTTAGATGGAGACAGAAAGGTGAGGAAGCGCACATATGAACAGATAAAAGTTGATGAAAGTAACTGTTCACCTCGAAGTTCTCCCACTGACCCTCCACAGGTAAAAGCATGTTTATAAAATTCTGTATTTGTGTATGGTTTGATAGAGAATTTTTCAGTTACTCTTGTTTTTGAATGGTCTCTGTTTTTCTTTTTAATGAGGTACTGTTTGGGTGAGGGTGACTATACCTGAAACTTTTCTTCGCAGTACTTCAGGTTACAAGTGGAGCACGCTCTAACTTTAGTGAGTTTGATGCTAAACCAAAATGTATGAACTATATATCCAGCTTTGTCCACGTCAGGATTTCAGCATTAGTTTCTACAATGTTTTGAGTTCTCATTTGGTTTCCAGGGTGGTAACAAGTAACACATGTATTAAAATAAGATTGTTATCGATTTATCAATAAAATACTTCTCAATGTTGCAGTCACTGATTGGGAAAAGTTCTTGTCTACCTTGCATTGTTATAGCTTCTATAATTCTTGTGGGTTTTTTGTTACGGTACTGCCCCATCTCATAAGGCTTTTTGTTATGGCAAGGAATGACTGTCCCCAAATAATCACAATTTAGTACATTTCTCTGTAACAGACATTTGGGCTTCTATGAACATCAGCCCTACTTCCAAAAGAAGTGCAGTGATCTAGTCTGATGTGATAGTGAAGCAAAAATACAAGAAAAATAATTTTAAAAATGTATAGTAAAATAAAAGGTACTGTAAAATAATCACTGCTGTCAAAAATAAAACTTTTATAAGTAGTCCTATACCAAGAATTTAAATGAAAAATCTATTTTAGGAAGGTGACCTTTAAAACTAGGAACACTTCAATGTTGTTCTGAGAATTAATGGCTTGGTTTTGTTTTGTTTTCCATCTGAGAGGGGATAGAATGTTGGTATAGTGCTGATATCATAAATGCTTTTAAAATTACCATCAAATTGATTCCATAAGCTTATTGTGAAATGCTGTTTTGTACTAGGATCTGTTTATTTAAACTAGTTACCAATCTTGCATGCTTTTTTCAGACCACAGATCTCATTAGAGCATTACAAGAACTAGAAAACGCTGCCTCTGGGGATGCAGCAGTTCATCAGAGAATAGCTTCTTTGCCTATAGAGGTCCAAGATGTGTCCCTGTTAGACAGAATAACAGGTGAGGGTTGGGGATCCAGTAACTGAAATGCTGTTCTGAGAACTTAACAGTATGTAATGAAATCATGCTTTACTTGGTTTTCTCTGCTTGCTTTTTAGATAAGGAATCTGGAGAGCAGCTTTCCAAAATGGTAGATGATGCATGTATGTTGCTGGCGGATTACAATGGCAGGTTGGCAGCTGAAATAGATGATAGAAAACAGCTAACTCGAATGTTGTCGGACTTTCTCCGATGTCAAAAAGAATTCCTTGCAGAGAAAGAACATAAGCTGGAAGTGCGTAATGTTTTGTTTTAGTCCATTCTTCACTAGAGCTTGTTCTTGCAAATGTTTTTAGTTTGCCTAAACAATTTTTCTCTCCAAAGGTAAATATTTAATTGCTGCTGTTAGGTCTTTGCTTCCAGCACATTATTAACAAGATTTCTTTTGGTTCTAATGTTCTAAATCTATTAAACCAGCTCAACATTAGGTAATGTTACAACTGTAATCACTTTAGTGTTTTTCTTTCTGGTTTTTAGCCTATTCAGTCTTCATTACATGTACAGACTTAGTTTCATTAGTGCAGACAGAAAGTCTTATCCTGAATGGTACAAACTTAATTCTTCATAGAGTAAATTTTTTTCTTGTTCTTTTTATTCATTGTTTTAAGTCTTAGTTGTGTATTACGTTGTTTAATAATACCCTTTTAGTGAATAGAATGATCTTTCTGGTAGTTGTAGGTTTGTGAACGTACCCACTTAATGGGTAAGAATTTAATTTCTGGTTTCAGCACAACTTTTTAACGTGACTCAAACATCCATTGGGCCCAGTAAAATATAGTTTTAGCTTCTACAGCCTCTGACATGGCTGTTTAGCAGCACTAGCACTATTAGGACAGGGCAGATCATTAATAGAAGAAGGATGCAGAGTGAACAGCTCATTATGAGCAAATAATCCCCTAAGTTACTCTGTTCTTTGCTACTACCAGTCATCTGTTTTCCTTTCCTACCATGTAATACTGTCAAGCCTCCTGTTGAACATCCGGCGTATTCTAAATAGGTCATAGTTTCATGTCCATTGCTTCCCAAATACCTTGTCTCAGCTTTGAGACATAATGCTCAGCATTAACTTGAGCATTACAGTAATCGAACTGAAGCTGCATCTTTCTGCAAGGGGAGATAGCTGAATGGTTGCAGTGCCCTGTAACTGCAGCATAAGCATACATGGTGCACAAATTAATTGCTTTTCAGGTTTCATCACATAGGCCCGTCAAGAACATTTTCTTCGCTCTGTGGCTTCTTTACCCTTTTATAACTTCAGAACTTGAGTTCAGATTTTGTGGTGTCTTTGTTCAGGAAAATGCTGTTCACAGTGTATCTGAAGTGGTCATTCAGATCAGTTGTGTCATTCCTAGACTACTCTTATTTCTTGACTCCCTTTGCTCTATGCCTCACAGAAAAGCAATTGATGAAGGTTCTTCCTGTCAACTTCACTGTGTTTATCCTGTGGGAAGAATATCAACCAACTTCATGTAAGATAGGTGGTATGCACAGTAGTGCTGATTGCAGTAGCAGCTGATCCAATTGCACAATGGAACCTGCAAGATTAAAGAACAGGAAGCCTTAAGCTTTTCATCACCTGCCTTACCTTCCCTCTTTGTGTGTAATGTGTTTGAAGGATAAGTTCCCACAGTACCAGCATAGGACTGATTGTCTTGAGACACTTCTTTTTGTAGATCATTACTGGCAATTAGACCCTGTTTAGGTATAGTAGACTGCTGGGATAGTGAGTTGCTCAAAAGGCAACTGTCCTTCAGATGGATGTATACTTCTGTAAAGAGAGCTCAATTAATCAGATTACAAATGGAGCACAGCTGTGAACAGATTCCACCTGTTTGTTGTTTTCAACAAATAAAACCCAGGTTAATTTCCCAATATTACTAGATCAAAGAGTTTGTAACTGTAAGAGAAAGCAATTGCTTATTCCCAGGCTGTCATGGTCCTTAAAACTGGGTTTCTTGGCTGAATTATTTTAACTGTTAAAGGATCGCATTCTAATACAACATACTTCCTGTTTTGGACTGGTTTCAGAGGTCTTTCTTTAGAAAGCAGGAGACAGTATTCAGTATCTGTAACAGACTGTTTTAAACAGATGAAGTCCTAGGATGTTGAGGTATACTGTTAGAATGTTTTTAGACTGATCGGTGTCGTATAAATGCAGGTTACTAATAAAAAACTATGAGCCAAGATGGTGTCAACCCTGGGTACTAATAAAGAGCTATAAGGCAAGAGATTGTAAAGAACAAGAACTTTAAGATCAAGCTTCTAAACTTATGTTAAGATGAGTGAAGTGACTTTATGCTCACTACCAGTTTGGTTTGGGAAGTGAAGGCTGATAAACGTTCTGAAGTTTTGAAATGTAAGATCAGGATGCCTTCATGATACTGCCTATAGGTCCAGCTGACTTAGTTTATCTTTTTATATTATTATTTTTAAGAAATGGCTATCTTCTGATGTAAACACCAAATATCTGTAGCCAGATGCATTTGTTTTCTGAAGCAAGGACTCTTGTTTTTACAGTCTTAGGAAATACCGTACCTCAGATTGAGCCTTGCTTCTTGGCTTCTCATTTGAAATAGCACTGGAAAAGGGCCTGTCACTTAATTCTTTGAGAATGTATTTCTTGAATTGTCTGGTCCCTGGGTTTTGCTGCTCAGGTTTAATTTCTGGTGAAATTAATTTGCTCTAGACAAGCTTGTTTCCTTTGTTAGAATTCTGGCTACTGACGTTTTGAGTATGACATTGTCTGTGAGTTGTAACATATCAAGTCTTCATTTCTTTCTGAATTAGTATCACCAATCTGTGAGAATATTGCTGAGATCCTACCTTACTGATTTGTCAAACACCCAGGTGTGGTAAGAAACAAGTGGTTGTATTCTTAGTGGAATCTAGAAATGTTACCTGCTGTTGACCTGGTTTAACAGTATTAGAATTTGAATGTCCAGAGAATTCTTGCCAACTTGAAACTTTAGATGGGAGCTTTAGACCTAAATTTGCAGATGTTTTATCTTCTGAAGAAAATTTACAGGTAAGTAACTTTGAATAACTAATCTTCCCATGAGTAGTTTTTTTAAGAATAAGAGTTTATCTAATAGTAATTTCTAAACAGAAGTGCATGATTCCCATCAAATTAAAGGTAATGTATGCATTAAATCTTGACAGGAAATTTTGACAACAGATAAGTAATAGGAGCTATTGTGTCTGCATCAAAATTTAACTGTACTGCTTAGTAGGTGACTTTCATTAAGTCTGCTCTGGGTAAGTAGTGTCATCTTTAACTCTTAAATTGTTTTCTTTAACATCTGTCTAGCTTCTGTTGCAGGTGGTGGACATGGACCTATCTTCTAATGATGTCACCATCCATTAGTACAGACATCCTGCTAAAAATAAATTTAAGAATCAAAATCTTGTATTGTCTGTTGTTTTTGAAAACTGAAGAGGAGGAATTCTGTAACTACTCATACCAAACCTCTGCTATTTTCATCTATATTCTCACAAACGTTACTGAGTTTATGCCTGAGATGGATAAGTACTTATCCAGTGTCATTCCTTTTTCTTGAAGATTAAAACTTTCACATGGTTATTCCTAAAACCCACAAGTCCTTTTGGTTAAATCGTTCAAAATTCCAAATGCAGAAGTTTGGGTGTCACTTGCATTGAAGCTGCCATTACCAAAAGGAAAGAGCTGTGAAAACAAGACTTTTTCAGACTTTCGCCTTTTAACTTACACTCTAGCTATTGGGTTTACATGAACATCAGAAATGAGAAGTGATGGATATAGAACTTGTCCTTCACAAGCACAATAAAGAACTTTCACTTTATTAATGTACATCTATTTTACATTTAATGTAGGTAACAAAGATGTATTTTATAATTGCTCTTATGCCCCTTTAGAGCCCACCTCAAATTTGGGATCATCCTAAAGAGTATTTTCCCTTCACTTTTGTAAGTTTTAAAGTAGTATAAATATTTAAGGTTCAGTGTACTGTAGCTGTATCTGGAAACTTGTATAGGATTTATAGGTAGATGTGATTCTGTCTGTTAGAGAAAATGTAAATATTTACAGAAAGATCTTTGTAGGAACCCTTTTTTCTCAGAACTTGGAGGACTAATATAATTTCCTGTCTTCTTCTACTGTGACTGACTCTTTCCTCTCTGCTTCCTCCTTGTGTCCCTCTCCTACCTCCCTGCCCATTCCCTAGTTTTTGAACAGAAATGTTGGTTGATCTGTTGATCTCACTGAAGGTTGATAAAAAGAGCTTTTTATGTTATTCAGTAACAGAGGATTCGGTATACATAAATTAATATTCAGGTGCGCTCATCTCCTTTTGATAAAGACTGTCCTGTAGACATTCCAGAATTAACGTGACCTTAAAAATACAGGGATGACGTGAACAAGAGAAATACTTTTTTCATATTGCTTTGCTTTTGCCTCATCCACAGTCTCACTGATTACAGTGTAAATAGATTCTTACTAAGTTTCAAATAAAGCCTTTGATAGTTCAGATTCTTACGCGACTTGTTAACAAGTGTGGGCAGGGGATCATACGACCTTTTTCTAGAAAAACAAGACAGCCTCCTCTCGCCTTCATTTTGATGTTACGGAAAAACATAGCATTGCTACACTTAGCATATACTAGATGACCCAGTTTCTTACATAGTGTTTGTATCAACTTACCACTTTAAATTGGGGAACATCTTGCCACTAAATCCAAAGTTTTATGAAGTAAATGCTACTCTGGGAGGCCTGCTGTGTTTCAGCAGCTTGCATTTAATTAAGACACTGTTATTGATGGTGTTGCTGTCTTGCGTTCCTTATTTTCTACAGCTGTATAAACAATATTCATATCCTTACACTCACACATCTGGTTATAATTGTTTGTGGTTTCTTAGCATGTTGAGAGAATATTATATGTTCAGTGCACTTTTATTTCATGATTGAGCTTTATAGCTAGATATATATAGCTTGACTTGCCTTCTTAAAGGGTCTAATTTTGTCATGGGATTTTATGGGTAAAGAGCAAGCAGTTAGTCATCCTAGTCTGTAGTGCTGGAGTCAAAGGTTCCCCCCCCCCCCTTCAGTTCCAGCTTAATGGTTTCAAATGCAGACAAAAACGTTAAGCGAAGAATTTAGAGATGGCAGTGGTATAACAGGCCTCTTGTGTTTAGATTTTGTTTTTCAATGTGAGAGTGGATTGATAAGCATTGTCGACTGTTTCCCTCCGCTATGGCCTTTATGGTGTTGCAGGGTGTAGTGCTTTCCTTGCTGTTTTTTTTTTTTTTTCTTTAGACCCCTTATACTTACCTGGTACCTTTTTGTATGCTAGCTTCTTTCGTTCAGTGCCAGATGAACTTAGAGTAATACATTCAGTCATGCTTCATACTTTTCAAGTCAACTTAAAATAATTGGGATTCCAATCTTCATAATCTTGCAGCTGAGCAGCTAAAGTATTTTGCTGAGCTTTGGTTGAGGAAGATGCATTTGTAGCTTGAATCTTACACTGCTTTTTGTTATGGGGTGGAGTTTGCAGCCTTGCAGGTGATCTACAACTCCTTAAACGTGGCAGTACCACAGTAACTCAAGTTAATCTTGAGTTAGAACTGAGCTGTGCTGTACCTGCTGCTAACAGTGCAATGATTACAGAACTGCTACCTGGGAAATACCAGTAAGTGGGCAGTATGGTTCATCTGTACTCATCAGGACTATTTTGAGTATTTAAAATCTTATGATGCATGCTTGGCAGCAGAAGACTCCCTGTAAGTAGTGATACCAAACAGACCATGTTGTGTGGTCTCTTGACATTATGAACCATCGCGTTCATTTCTGTTCAGGATTACAGCTTCAGAAATTGAAGCTGGGTTGTCAGTGCTTCCCATTCAGGGAGTATATGACTTCTACTGAAAGAGGTGCTTGAATTGATCTAGATAGTCTTGGGCTGAGGGGAGCATGACTGTGGATCCCTTCTTATAATATAAAAGGGAGGAGAGCCTTCGCCAGAATTACTTTCTTCTGTGGGCCAATTTCAAGTAACTTTGTTTTTTCAGAGAAATGTATGTATCACTTAATCATCAGGAGGGCAACGTAGGCTAGGGATCTCTAATGTACAGATTCTTTTCATTCTAGTTCTCCCCATCCTACCCTGTATGAGATTGAATATGATTCAGGAACAGGCCCCTATGCTTAGAGATTTGTATAGATCGATTCAAAGTCCTTGCTTATAGATTGGCTTTGAGTGACCATTTGAGATGCTTTGTGCAGTGTAAGTAAAGTTGAGTTGCATAGTCCAAGTCCTTTAGTGAATATAATCACTGGGGTTTTTGTGTTTCTTTTGAAAAAAAACAAAGCAAAAAACCCCAACCTGCCCCCTGTCCCCACCCCCACCCCCCAAAAAACCTACCAAAAACCCCCAACCAACTAAACTTCAGTAAGTTTCAGTAGTTTGAATTATCTACCTGAAGATGACTGGGGAAGATTAAGCAATCACTGCAATACTCATTTCTCCTTAAGGTTTATTAGGTTAGAAGTTAAAGAATGTGAGGGGATGTTTAAAACGAGACACAGGTTGCATTTCTGATCTGCAATAGAAGTAGAGTTGCTAAGCATGCTTATAGGTTGCTAGCCTATCTTTTAAATGTGGTTGTTCTTTTGTTTCCATGAGCATTTTTTTCAGTGGCAGGAGATACAGTTGTAAAGGTTAAGTTTTGTAGAAGTAATCTGCTGGACTAGAGTGGAGAACAGCAGCCCTTATGTCAAACACAGCAAAGCAAAGTCAGGTGGTTGGTGCATTTTGTTCCTCTGTGCTGTACCCACTTTATGAGAATAACGCTTATTTGCCCTATTTCTTATAACAAGCTCTCTGTACTTGAGCAGTAAATATCCCTTTTTTATATTGTGATTTCATGACTGCAGCCTCAGATACTACGGTACATAGTTTCTCAATTTGTACCTGAAAGAGTGTTAGACTTCAGAGCTCTGTGTTGTCATTCAGAGTAACAAAAACACTTGAAGACTTCCACTTCTTAAATTGAATTACCAGATATTTGAGTATAAATCATGGCTTTTCTAACAGATTGGGCAGGTTGTAGGTTGTGCTTTGCTGATCCTTGTAAAATAAGGAATAACCCTTTGCTTCAGTTCATCATGTTTTAAAGCATTGCTTGTCACATTGAAGATGCTCTGTTTTTGAAACAGTGTAATAAAAAAATGTTACAACTTCTGTATTTATAAAACTTTTTACCAATTTCACCCTTATTTGTGAAGAGGGTTTTTTTTTAACCTTAACTCTGCAGCTCACCATAACTTTTTATTTGAAAGAAAAAAAATGTACAAGATACTAGATACTGGGTACTTTAATACCCTTGAGGTACCTTTTGAATTCCTCGTTATAAAAATACCGAGAGAAGATACTGGTCTTATCTAGGTAGGACTTGCTGCTGTTTGTGAGACTTTTAGACAGTATGTTCCTGGCTGTTGGAAGCCAAAAACTTGATACTGTTAACCAAAATGAATGGATCTATTTGTGTCATCCTCAGAAGAACAAGTTTTGCAGGTATGTAATGGATTCAGTTTTTGTGCAAACAAACATCTGAGATGATGGGAAATTGAAAACGGAATAATCGGTGCTGTATCTAGAACTTCTCAGGTTTTTGAAGGACAGCTGTAGATTGGCAAGTGACTTCATCTGGTGCTTTCTGCAGCAGATATTCCCTTTGATCAGATGTTTGCTGGAAGAAAAAAACCAAACCTGGATATAAGGGATGGATGTAAGAACTGGATGTAAGAAATATTGCAACTAGTGCCTATTTATGTCAGCAGTAGCAATGTAGTTTTTCAAGTTAAGACTACACCTTTTCTACAAGCTTTACTTTCCTGCAGTAATATTGTTGCTGTTTAGACTCTTTAAAATTCTGGTGTTCCTGTTGCTAGACCTACTAAATTTTAAGAACATATTTTTTTAATCTGTACTGTGAATACAAAGTCAGCAGAACTATAAAACCTGCTTGTATCACTCGTACAACTAGAAGCTTGCTTTTGGAATTGCTATTTGTTGAAGCAACTGTAAACTCTAAATAGATAAAGATGCCACTGGAATGACAGGTAGTAACTACACAGACTAAACATTGGGCTTTCTCACTCAGTTTGAGAGTTACAAAGGAAATGTTTGTAATCTAGTTTCAAAAAAAAGGTTATGGATGGAAAGGAAAAGGGAAGGGAAGCTATCAGCTCTGCTCCACAATTTGAGATGACTTGTATAAACAAACTGAATAGAAATCTGTTGCTTTAGCTGCTGTCTT